TTTTAATGAAATGCCATTGATTACAAAGGTTTATGAAAGATTTACGATTTGTGAGTTTAAAAGAAACGACAGGTAACCAGAAGGGTTGAGAAATTCTTTAGTCCATTTGTACAGGCCGTTACTTGTTCACAGATGCTGAGTTCTGCACATATGTTCCATCGTTTCTTCTAAACTGTCTTATGAATGGTGTAAAATGGTGTAAATCTGCTGACCTTTTGGAGTATCTGTTGTTATTTATAGGACAGGCAAGATAAAAACTAGTTTATGTTTTAACAGAAATCCAGTGCATCTTTCCTCAAATATCTAAATCTCCTGCTGTGTCCTCTTCACCTTGAGTAATCTACTGGATTGATAGAATATCTGAGTCAAGAGATTTTCCTATTTCTGTTTCAAAGACCAGAAAAGTTAAGGACCCTCTATACACTGCATACTAAAGAGTTCTAATTCCATGGTATTTTTATGCAGTTGGAGTGATCTGCCCTTATAGATCTTAACTCAGATTAATCAAGTCTAGAGTGTTTCTCAATTTGTAATCAATTTAGACATTCTAAGTATTTTATTACACCAAGATGAATTAACTGAACACTTCATTTTCATGCATTCTCCCCATTTAAGTAAGCAACATTGATATCTGTTTATTTGTACTTTGTTTGAACTTAGATTTCTTTCAACATTTCTCCTAGGGTAAATGACAGGTACCCTTCATGTAAAATTTTTAATTTTCTCAACATCCAAAAAACTTTTTTTTTTCATTAGTATATAAGGGTGCTTAAGAAGATGCTACTTTTCCTATGTTTTTGGTCTGGATTTTTCTTTTCTTCAATAAACCCTTGATTTAAACATTTCAGCAACCTGTAATGCATAATTCTTTAAGTTCAGTTTATTTGTTTTTTAGAGAGGGTTGCCATGGTTGCAAGAGAAATTTCTATGAAATTCTATGAAACACTACTCTCCTCTTTTTAACTTAAGTCTGAATTCAATAAAAGTTGGTACAAAGTAGACTACACTAAGATACATAATTCTGTTGAGCATTTTTTTTTTTTTTTTAATTTTTATTTCAGTGAATGGTGTTGCCATGGTTAATAAAAGTATTTTGAATTTTTTTAAAAATGCTTAGCTCCTCTGCTCCTGAACTATAGATTTGTTCTGATTTCGATTAGGGATGTGTGATTTCATCAGTATACCGGTATATTGTAATTTTTAATTGCGCGATAAGTATCTTGATATGGAGACTTGCATACCGGTATTTTAATATGTGAATAAATTATAGATTCCGGAAATAAATTTTTTTTTTGCTCAAACTTTTCAATTACAGTTAAAGGAATTGTAAAAATAAGTTGTAAAACAGAAAAAGACAGCAACATCCTAGCATCCAATCATACTTTATTAACATATAAAAATTAAAAATGAAAAAAGTAAAGTTATGTTGACACACTGTATTTGTTAGAAAAATAATGGAAATTCATTTGAAATATTAATAAAAATTGTGTGTAAATTAAATTATTGTGTTTAAATTATATTAATATCGTGATATTTTTGTGAAAAAATCATGATATATCAGGATACAATTTTTTTGGCATATAATAGCTCATCTGTGATTTAAATAAGATTTCAAACTATACTTTTATACACAATGCTGTGTTTTTTTTTAAATTTCAAAGAACAATGTAGAAACAGTGTCTAATCATAGAATAATGTTTGAAATATTAAAAAAAATTACTTCTACAATATATGTCCCCTACAGTACATGTCTATTTTCAATAAATTTAAACCTGGTACACAAGTTGACTAAAATAAGGCTCATAATTCTGAATTATTGGTAATATTGCAATAGCTACTAAAAAAGGGAATCCTTGAAAATCTTTCAGTGTGCTACTCTATTTTTGTTTTGATTTCAACGAAACTTGAAACAAGTTGAGAAACCATGAGGATCGATACATCATTCTGTAAATGTAAAAGTAAATTTTTTTTCAAGTCCAGGTGATTCTGTTCCCTTTCAATTGTAAAAGGACAAATCGGTAGAGCTACAGTCTTATCAGAAACTTCTGGTTACACTTTTCTCTATGCAAGAACTCAGAATATGATTATCTTAATTGTTTTTATCCCCTCCTCCCTGAAAGAATGAGGGCACATTTGTATGGCATTTGGGAGGAACCTGCATGGGTGCACTTGAAAAGTGAAAATTTCATTGATCTGTCACATGAAATTTTAGCATTCTTTTGATGTATCGTGTTCCTGTGAAATAGGAAAGGGAAATATTTTCCCAATATTGTGTTCTGATTTTCTAAAATATATCTTGAAATATGGCTAGATGTCATTTGGTACAAAATGTTACATTTTTAAACATGTTTTTAAAGAAAAATTGCTATCTCCGGGTCATCTCTCTGTGATTTTATAACATTATTAATTTGTCATTTAAATTCAAAGAAACTAGCAAGCATTTGTAAAAAATGGAAAGAAGACACAGAGACCAAAAAGTGAACTTTTTTTTTAAAAAAAAATTTCCATTGTGTAAATGCGTTGCTTCAACAATTGTCATTTTAGAATCCATATTGTTTGTGTAGCGATGATGGCACAATAGTATGTGTCACCAGTCCAGAGCACTCAGGAATCAAGAAGTTTTGTTCAGTCCTTGCATGGAGCATTTATTTTTTTAATTTTTTTTATACAAATAATTAATTTGTTTGTCAATTTGATTTTTAATATTTATTGATTTATTAAAATGTTATAATGGATAAATTTTGGTTCAATTTCACCAAGAGTGCAAGCATTAATTCTTCTAATCTACTGAATCTTCAATATAACTGCATTTAACGATTATAGGCTGTTAAATATGTTACAGGTGTTTATTATTTATGTGATGTGTTACTATGCTTTCATCACTATTAAGATAAGAGGACTTGAATATTACTACTTGACAAGGTATTTCAGTGTAAATATAATATTTTAGTATGTGTGTAACTTTGTAGAGTCTGTCTAGCTATATAATGGCCATCCGACCAAATCTTGGACATTTAAACTTTAAATGTTTCATACACATGATATTCCTGCAGATCACCCACCAAATACGCCCATCTTTCTTATAGGGTCTATATTGTAGTTTTATTAATCCTTGCATCAGGATTTGCATGAATTTTTGTGGTCAATGAGACCACATGCACATTTGTTTTCACATTAATACTGGGGTTTAAGTGCTTCTGGGTTTAAAAAAAAATGAGGCATCTTATTAAAAAGAGATATTTATGTTTCAATGAAGAATGAGTGTTTAGAAACTGGTGTTTCATAGCTTGCTGTAGAATGCCCTAGGCTTGAGTTGCATACCATTCTGAGATCATCTTGTCACTTGACCACTTTTATGAGAATTTAACTTGAGCTAAACGTGAAATACATGTATGATTATTGTTATTATGCATTTTAAAACTTTGCTGCAAGCATTAACATTGATCTCATTCAGTTATTCTTCTAAATTTCATATAGAATTTTTCAAGTATCTTAATTGAGAGTAATACATGTTTAAAGTAAAGAACAACAATAGATCTTGAAGTCAGAATTTTCTCTTGTGGGAAGGATGAATGAGTCATCTTGAGAACTTCTATAAGACCAGGAAAAATTATAGACTTCAAAGATTATGTAAGGTGCAATCAAAATTCAATACATATTCAAATATGACAAGAATAGTGCAATCAGATGCAGTATCCTAGAATGAATGTACAAAATATACTAGTATACAAGTAAACAAATTTTCCAGACCACTTTTAAAAGTATGGCCCCTAAAATGTGTAAATTTTTCAATTATTTAAAAGTATTAATGGATAATTCTATGGCTGTATAATGAAGTCAACTATTGATGATTTTACAGTTCCAACCATCTTCATCAATTTCCTCCCCTCCATTTTAAAGGGGGGGGGGGATGGTCACCCATGTCCACATGTCTGTTAGTCCCATGTTGCAATCAGTATTCACACAAAAAAGTTTGACAGATTGAGATCATCATATATACAACATAAAATGGTTAATGATTAATGTGTGTACTTGAATTGTTTTTGGAGGCCATGGAATTAAATGTAGTGGGCTAAGCCCTGTGTTCTGAGCATTACTTGTGAATGCATTCATGTTTGCACCATGGGTTAAAAGGTTTGGCTTGAATTGCTTTTAGGGTCTTTGGATGTGACTGCTAAATAATAAATATTTGTTTTCCCTGCAATAACTTGGAATGGCATGGACATCCTGGATGGTCTGAAGAAATGCAAGGCTGATTCTTTTTTTTCAATCACAAAGCCAGATGTTCAAATTTTCGTCACAAATTAATCTGATTTAAAGCAAAAAATTGTCATTGGAGTTTCATGGTCAGAATATGTGACAGGTGTTACTAAAAGTAGATTTGTTTTGCGAAACCTGGAGAGTGGTCTTAGCTAAAATGGTTTAGGCTGGGGTATATGACATGTGTCCTTTGGACAATTACTTTATTTCTTAAGTCTTTCTGTGATACCTTGCATAATTTTTAGGCCTTCAATCATCAAATCTTGTCATTTAATGCATTGTTGTAACCAGAATATAGGTCACAGTGTCCTCATTGTGAAATTTGATAGTTTTGCCATGTATAGCGATGTTCAATATATATTGAACATATATTGAGGCATTAGAGCTAGTGGATATCTTGTCCGGAAGTTATATGTCAAGACTAATCAGTAGGCACTGGCTCTGATTTACATCTGGAAGTATATGCATGCTGGCCTTTAGTATTCAGATTTTGTAATTCAAGACATAAAAAGCATTTATTACATTTAGACCCGTTACAGCAGTTAGATTTACAAACATGAGGGCTTTGTAGCAATTCTAAAAAAAAAAATGATATGCATAATATGCATACATCATATATTGCCCTTAACTTTAAAAAAAATTGACATTATGTAATTGTGCTGTCTACTTTCAATAATATTAAATGTTTAAACATATGAATAAATAACTTTTTAAAGAATATGTTGAATATGTTCTTTCAGTTGAAGTCTGCTGACATTCTCACTGCACAGGTGCTCCTTCTGTATTATGGTGGATATTGCTCCAATATGTTTTACAGACTATAAAGCCTCAAAGTCATAAAATCTGGTAATCTGTAAACATTCCTAAGTTTCATTTCCTGGTAGAAATGTGTTAAAGATGTGTTTATATATTTTCACTTGTACTTTAAGTTAATTTTAGACTCTGTATGAACCTGTAATATGTTCGAAGAGTTGTTTTATTTTTTGTAACACGTACATCTCTACAATTGTATATACTACATTTCTATTAATTTTGTCAGCTGTTTCAACAGGTTATGTAGAGACTTTTAAAACTACATAAATTAAAAAAAAAATGCTGTTAATATCGTCAATGAGCACAAGAAAATATGCAAATATACTATCCATCCTGCATAATTGTTCAGCTCATTTCATTTCCACGTGGCCATGTTAAACCCTGATCACATCTTATGTAATGATTGATTGGCCAAGTCACTCATCTCAGTGACATTAATAAGAGCATGCAGGCTTAGAACAGTTATCTATTAGTTAAACATAATTAGTCCCAATCTGTGACTCTGTGTATAGATCATTATCGTTTGTTCATTATGGGACTGCCAGAATTAGGTACAACTCTGGGGTGGTGTTGGAATCAAATGCATGCTCTGGTGTAAAAATTGTGCACACCACACGAGACATTTGATGTTTATGATATGTATTGCAAAATCTGTGTTATGTTTGAAGTATGTGCCACTTTGTTTGAAATTGAATGAACTTGCTTTAATTACTTCCTTATTAGATTTATTGAAGTGGCTAGATGTTCCTGTTTTATAACTTTTTTATCTGACTTTGCATTTTATATTGTTTTAAACATATAAAGATGTATTTTGCCAATGGGGAAAAAAAAATAAATGTATAAAATTATTGAAATCTTTTTTGACTCAAAAGTAGGACAGTTGGTAGAAAGAATGTGTGAGTGGTTTTAAATATATTTTTTCCTCTCTGTCAGCAAGAAATTGAGTAACATTGTAAGTAGATTATACCATTAGGTAACCCTAATGTGTTAAAGGGATTGCACTCTATGACTGGATTTTACATTAGATATTATACAGCCTTAGTGACAAAATGTGTATTAAAAATCAGCTTATTTCTGTCGGGTAATATATATGCATAGGTTTGTATTTCAGTACAGGTTATTTGGTTGAACTGACCAAACAAGATTATTACATCCTCAATTGAAATTTTTATATAATTGCATGTACAGGCATCCACACAGGGTGAAGCTGCGTATAATACAAACTGGTGACATGCGACAGTTTATTTATTAATCCTGAACTGTTATGTTTATGTAGACGTATATGACATTTCCTTGATATGAGCCGTTACAGAATATGCTTGTTTGACATCCTTTACGTAATATTGACAAATACCTCGTGTTACTTGCATGTGCTGATCACGACAATTTTGCTTGAAAAATAAACTCTACTGACAAAAAGCTTTTTTTTTTCAAAGTAAATATTAGTTGTTCTCAGTTATTTTCCTTAATTGTAAAATTTATGTATGATGTCATTAATTGTTATTGTAAATACATGTATAAAAATGTCCTGACATATTCTTTTTTTTTTTTTTATTCTTGTGGTTTTTGTTGTGAATTTCAATTAGATGTTGGTATTATTTTTACATACATCATCTTAAAATAACTTAAAGGCCATTGGACTTTGTTTCAAATTTAGATGAAAAATTTCCCTTTATTTAATTTATTCACTGTAGATAGATACAGTGACATAGCAAATCCCATTTGCTACCATAACCTTACTGCCAAAACAACCACAGATTTGGGGTTTGGTCAATAATATTTCACCTAGTTTAAAATTGCAATTTAGATGGCAGAATATGTGCGACTATCAACACAAAAAGGACGGTACGAGAGAGACAATGGGTGTTCATTGATTTTAGCCATAATCGATGGAAGGATATGCTTGCTGGCTATATTAATCAGCTGTTTAGTTAAATTACTTCGGAGTCCTAGTTATGATATTTACTTTGTGTGGAGATGACGGGTATTCTATTGATTTGTCTATGTCAGAAGTTTCCAAAAAGCCTTTGTCCCACATTTCAAACAGAGGGGGGAAAAAGACATGCTTGACTAGAGCTGTTTTAATTTGCACAGCTGTCAAAATTGCAAGTCGAAATAGGTGTCTGCAATATAAGCACCTATTCTGAAAGATTTTTCAATATTTCCAATCAGTGTAAATGAATAGGTCATGTATACCTCGTTTGTTGTACATGGATGAATTATTTAGCTCAGGCAGTTGGGCAGCTATTAGTTTATGGTCAAATGCTAGTCCCCACAGGATACATATTAACAACTGTGTAATGTGGCCTTTGGTCATGTCTGTATAGGTTAAAATGTGTATGTCTTCATTCGTTACAAATACTTGCTAATTTAATGCTGATAGTATTCATAGTACCAAATATTACACTACCAGTACAAGTTAGGTAGCACTGAAAGGTTAATTGCTCTACAGATCAAGAATTCTAGTAAGATGAGTGTTTCGGAATTTTTCACCCCTTCATTGTGTCAGTCCTCTCAATATTGGACAGAATGTCATTTAAAAGCATCGAGTGTGAACAATTATGGAATGTCACAATTGGTGAAGCTCAAATTTGGTATATTGGTAATTGAGCCTGTTGTGCATGAAATGTTTCTATACTCATTTAAGTGACTGTAATTTTATTCCCTTTTACTGACCTACATTTACGACTGTTTACAAAATTTTTCAATTGGACTCCCTGACCTAAATACATGTACGTAAGCTGCAGTCCCTGCACAGGTGTGTACATAAGAAACAGGTATTCATTCATAATTTGTGTTTGTGCAATGACCTTGTCTTGTGCGCAGTGGTGTATTGTCTCCACAATTAAGAGTCACTGCTGAATATTGAGTGACCAGTGTGTTTGACTATTGTTTTTCTGTATTTATATGTAGATAAAAAAAGAATATGCCGTTGCAACTAGGACACATATGTGCTCAACAGAGCATGATGACCTGAGGTTTTTACAATTTCATGTATATAATACATGTATAAGCTACAAGAGCTGTATACTATGGTTATATAAATGACCACAGTCCAGAGAGTGTAGACGTGGAGTGCAGTATAATCAACACTTATGAATAATTTAACATTAAGGAATTTTGATTAGGATTGTGTAAAAAAAAAAATGTAGCTATGTAAATACACACACACAGAGATAAAAGCATATACAGTCAAACCTCGTTATCTCGAACTCAATTGGACCGAGAGCAAAATTTTAGATATCCGAGGATTCAAGATATTAAAGGTAAATTACTTGAAGAACAAGTGTTTGGGACTTCCATATCACTTCGACATATCCATGGTATTTGAGATACCGAAGTTCAACTACTGTATATTACAGTTGAACTTTGATATCTTGAACACCGATATCTCGAATACCCTGGATATGTTGAAGTGATTTGAAGTCCCAACCCCTTATTCTTTAAGTATTTTACCCTGGATATCTCGAATCCTCGGATATCTCGAAGTTTTTTCTCAGTCCCATTGAGTTTGAGATAACAAGGTTTGACTGTGCTTCCTTTACATCTCTGAATTTCTTTCACTACTCTAAGATAATAATTAATTTACTTGTATATTTATTTACAGGGCATTAATGTGTGCAGATTGCTTTCATAAACCTACAATTGTTTTATAAAGCATAGGGTGACAGACTTATATTATCACTTTTATTATACACTTATATAATCATTTCAAAGGTTTCATTTTCTTTCATGTTTAATATTCCTCCTACATTCATTACAAAACCGTGTCTTAATATTAAAAAAATTTATTGAAATTACATTATGAAAAATGATTTGCACAGGAGTAGGTTTAAGTATAATTGCATAAGCCATGAGAAGGTTTAAGCAGATGGATTTCTGATGTTGACAGGCTTTTATGCCCAGAGGCTAGCAGCAGTTGGTGGTATTCCTGAAGATCAGGCACTTGGCATATGGATTTAACCTATGATTAGTACATGTAACCCTAGTTTGATGCATATAACTATGATAAACACAAGCTAGACTCAGGTCAGATATAATAGCCAGGTTGTTTATATAGCTCCTAGTTTTATACACCCTGACAAGGATAAAGATAGCATTCATGCTGAAAAATTGTGGACCATGCAGACAGGAGGCAAGCTAAAGAAAAAAAAAACTATTATCTTTTAACCTGCAAACCCAGTTTATTGAGAGAGAATTAATTTGATCTGCATCACCTATCAAATCTGATGAATTGCAGATTTTATAGAGCCAACTACCACAGCTTAATAACTAAGCACTATTCACACTAAGTAAAGCACCTCCCTTTCCTTTTAGGTAATAGTTTCTTTACAATATCAATGATCTTTCTTTTCACCAATTCTTCCCATTGTCCAAGATGTATCAACTCAATTCTTTCCTACGTATAATGTCAATTTGAAATCATGTTATCTCTTTGAAAATGTCTAGAATATGGCAAAATACATTCCCGAACTTAAGGTCAAGATCTAGTAAATAAAAGGAGCCTACAGATTTCTCAAATTTGAGAAATAAATTCCTTTAATGAAGCTTTATAAATATAGCTTGGTCAAATAAGGTGTTTTGGGGCATAATTTGTAGGCAAACAAGACGAAAAATCATATATTAAACTGTCATTTTTATTCAAAAATTAGGAAAATCAGTCATGTATATGGGAGTTTTTTTCCATATCAGACAAATTAAATGTATCCAGATTGCCTACAGTCTCTCAGAAAAAGGTAATTTGTATGTTCTTGGCCTCTTCTTTAAAATAATATTAAATTGAATATAGGTATGGGGATTACTTTTCACATGATTTCAAATTGAATTCCAGGAAAATACTTTATTTTCTACATAATTCTATTACAGCCGTAAAGTACGGGAAAAAAGAAAGTTTAATTTGATTATGATGTCATAATGGATCTAGCATCAAAAATGCAGTCTAAAATCATTTACTAGATCTTGACCTTAAAGCATACCTTGGTTTTCTTGCACTACTTACTGCTTACAAGTAAGCATTGCATGTAAACAAAAACATTAAAAGATTGTTAGATTTCAATAAAATTTTATTTCCCATTTCTGGGTAAAACAATAATGGACAACTTGACAAGTATACACAATGATTTCTATGGGTTTGAACTAACTTACACATTGATCATTCATATTTATCACATACACACAATATACATATATATACCTAGTGTCCATCCACTATATAATAACAATTCTTTTTTTTTCAGCTTTTTTATGTAAATAAATCCTGAAGTCACACAAAAATGACTTTTTTCTCCATTTGATCTACCTCTTTACAAAGTTAAAAAAAAAAAAAAAATCTGAACAGATTTTGTGATAAAATCTTTGTCCAACTCGGCAGATCAAAATGGCCACTGTACATTATCACCTAGTCTGCATGCATGGTACCTCAATAGATGAAAAAACAAAATATGCAACATATACAGCCAAATATACTTTGGGATTTTTAAATCCCGGTCCGTTTACAGATTTGCCATCAAATGACCTAGTTGGTAAAAATGATGTTTGCATGTCAGCATGTTAATACAAAATTATTTCTTTTTTAACCTCAGCAAGTTCACACAATCTAATACTTGTTCACTTTGCACCGATCTTTTTCTGTTTAATTCCACGTGCTTTGTCACAACATAACTTGTGTATCTCGAGATTACATAATTTTTTTAACCGGGAATGGCAAGGAATTCTCTATATAGATATACATGGCGGAAACATACACAAATGACTGCGTCTTTCTTCACGTCATCACTGGATTTGGTTCACAAATATATATATTATATACACATGTACATGCATTATTTCTTTAACTGCTTTTTGTTCCTGATTGTCTAACAAAATATTAAAGAGATTAGAGTTTCACAAAAACTTTAAAACTTGTTACTTGGATCAATTTCATTTGTTAAAAAAATTCTGATAATGTTTCTGTAACATCTAATAGTACTATATTCTGTTTCTTTGCATTATATTTTGAAGATCAATGTTCTTCTTGAGAAATAACAGGTCATGTTGCACCAATTTGTCCATATTAAGATAGCACAATAATACGACAATTATCTGTCAGAGTAACAAGTTTGATTTGATATCATTGAATAAAAAAAAAAAAAAAAAACTTTTTTGCGTAAGTAGCAACCTCAAAAATTCCTTACTCTGTTCAATTTAACTCAAAATTGTGTGTGGATATAATTCTAAAGGTTTTCGTCGATTCACACTCTTGTATACAAAAAAACAATAAAGTAACTGAACAGAGAAAAGGATTTTCTATTAATATCTTTCACCTCCATTATCACAGTAAACAGCTTTATTTAATATAATCTTTGTAAAACTTTTTCAGGGATAAATAAAAATGTTGATTCATGAGAAAATATCTTGTCACTACCTCTATTTACAAATTTTCCTCCTTGCCCTGTTTGCACTGCAGAAAATCTGGCAAGACAAAGTCTGTCTCATAGATCAACATTTCCACAAAAAAAAGTTTTAAAAGGTGCAGAAGAAAATGCTC